TTTTTTTTTTTTTTTTTTTGTAGTATAAAATATGAAAAAAATTTTTTTTTTGATGGCAATTTATTATTTGCCGAAGTTTTCTTTTTTTTTTCTTTTCTTTTTTTTATTTTCACTTTTACGGAAACAAACCGCAGCTGCGTAAATTACCACAGAATGGAATAAAAATTTTGGGAATTTAATAATTTTAGTAATTTTTTGAATAAAATTGGTCAACATTTATGCTATCTTTGTTCGTTAATTTTGGCTTTTTACTTCGTATAAAAGTAGAAATTTTACGTCTAAAAAACATTTGTAAAACTTTATCACTGTAACTGATTCTTGATTTTTGGACAATATTTTAGAACAGTGTTGCCAATTTTTTTGGAATAATCTATCATAAGCTGTGTTTTGCAGAACTATCACTCAGTTAAACGACGATGGTTTTGAGTACAGCGATAAACTGGAATCAAACTTTGTTGTTGCAATAAATCAGTCAAATTTTTTTGGTGGATACAGAAAAATTGAGAAGAAAAAAAATGGACAAAAACAGAAAATTGAATGCTGGAATCAAATTAACAGATGAAATCTGGTTAAAAACTTCTTGAAATTTACAACAGTATTTGGTATTTTTGAAGCGAACTTTAATACTTCCGTCTTTCGTCTTCTTTTGAAAAGAAGCATTGGAAAAATTTATAACAATAACATAACACACCTCAAAAAAAAAAGTGAATTTGGTACTTTTATATTTTGTTTTCTTAACTTTAAAAAATTTCATAGACATAAATAAAAATACAATAGTTTACGGGTTGTTCACTCTGAATAATAAACGACGGTCATTTTTGACCATTTTTTTTTTTGTATTTTTCCGATGTAGGTTAAGCACTGTTGTACCCGACAGTTGACAAAATTCTATCTTTTTTTTCACCCGCAAATATACTGTTCTAACAAAAACGACAATAATACAATGTATTGGATGAATAATTTCAGTGAAAACAACCAAATAGTTTCATTGAATATTAACAAATCTATTGAAATGCAAATAAAAAATTTTTCAAAACTTACTAAACGTAGTATAATTTTTATACAACACTGATATTTTTTTTGAACAGT